TGGTTGGCTTTTCTATCTATTAGAAGAAATTCAAAAAGATCGGTACGATTTTTGGAGTTGAAGAAAAAGAATTTGTCCACCACACATCCAAGTCTGAAAAATAAAAGATTTACCAACATCAATCATCTCAAAAAAAAGAAGAAAACTAGACAAATGTTCTATCGTCAATGTTTTTATGCTTCTACAAAAAAATATGTTAGAGATATACAAATTAAACCTTAAACGACATTTCTAGATTTTCTCCGCCCCAAATTTTGATGCCTTCATCATAATAACCTAATTCTTCAAAATATAATCGATCGATTGCGTACAAACCACCAGCCATTGTTGGAGAACTACAAGGTAATAGAACAAGGATGTTTCACGATATATTGACGAAAGAGGATTAATTCTTGCAATATTCTATTTATTTCAAATTTAGTAAGAGATCTTCGTGCAAAGTATACAGCAATAAATCTTAAGAAAATATTTGAAAAATGACGTATATGTAGACATTTTTCTTACCGAACTGGTTTCGAATGATCATTATGATCATAATTTTCATTTGTAATTTTGGACCAACGAAATATCATTTTCCAACTAAATGTACCAAAAATATCTGTGGCACCTTGCAATAATTCAAACGAATTCCATGTTAATACATCAATTATTGGACATATAACTGTTTTCCTAATAAGATAAGAATGATAAAAAATAGAAACAAAAAAAACAAATTCTTTTTCTTCAACTCCAAAATCGTACCGATCTTTTTGAATTTCTTCTAATAGATAGAAAAGCCAACCATTTAATACTTCAACGTGAGAATCCAAAAACATTAACGTTTCACCCGTAGCCAGTTTAGCCGCTTAAAATAAAATAAAACATACACATTTTTATTAAAACAATCATAAAAGTTTTCAGAAAATAATTTTACCTTTTACACGAGAACTAATAAGTCCCAAACGTACTTGATTTCTATAAAGTTTAACGTTAACCGGTAATGTTGATATAAATTGTTGTAATGGTTCGTGTAAATATTCTGCGAACAAAATAAAAAGATGTACAAGTTCACATTGTATTACTACTTTAGACATAT